AGGTGGTTACCACAACACCATGTTGGGTGTTTGTTGAATGCAGAGGCCATTTGTTTTGTTAAGTTTATGCTGATTGTTTCAGAGCTGAAAGGACCAGAACGAAGCTTATGGTGTTTTTTTTGCCGTATGGAGCAATTTTAAATCAATATTGAGTTTCTTCTGTTTTATCAAACCAGCCCTCACACATCAAATGAAATCAAATTATATTCAGTTCAAGCTGAAAAGCCAATCTTTTAATCTAATATAATAAAAGCATTTTCTTTTTATTTAAAACTTTCTGCAGCTTTGTTTGCTTTATACATAAACGTTGGTTATTTCATAAACAAAGGCCTCATAAACATGTGGAGAAACTGCTTTTTATGGCTTGGAATTGAAATATAATTCAACTCTCACTGCTGACTTTTGCATATGAATTGTTATTTTAAAGGATGCTGTCAACCTTTATGTATTTAAAGGTTCTCTTCTCTGCCGGGTAAAAGTAAATCTTCCATCTTTATAACCATACCTCTTAAAGCACACTTTCTCTGACTTGACATTACTGAACTCTAGCAGTGTTGTGTCTTCCTAAAATTAGTTTTACTACTTTGACTGTGTGTTTTAAAGTATTTTTCAACCCAACTTCTTTGAGTCACTTTTGGTGCATCAGTGTTTCCTGTCATTATTGCAAACATGACTCTATATATTGAGAAAGCTGCACCATTCAGCCAGACGTTTATTCTGGTGAGTCACATCCTAATGATGCCTGAAAGCCTGCTGGGCTTGTCAGCCCTTTGTTAGACTCTGGAGACAGTGGAAGGACAGCCGAACATATGCAACATGAACTGCAGAATGTAATAGAGGGCTTTCAGCTTCTGTCAATCTAGTTAGTGAAGCTTAAAAGGGCATCAAGCCATCTAAAACTTCAACTGAAATGTATAGCTGACCAAAGATTTGTTGACAGTTGTCTGGAATGCCTTAAAGTTACATAACTAGGCATAAGAGTTTCGAAAGGTATAAAATATCAGCATCTTGTGACTTGTTTTGTCAAGCACCTGCAGACATTCATAGTTGTTGATTTCTGGAAGATGAGTTTTTCTCAATATATATTGGAATAACTTGATTTATTGTGGTAAGAAAATGCCTGTAAGCCATGTATAAAATGCCTGCGAGCATCCTGTAAGGTTAAGTGACGGGTGAGTCCACCCGGAGACCTTTGCTGCATGTACAGCTTAAAAGTTCATTGGCTATTTTGATAGTAGTTTAAGTAATTCAAGCAAAAATGCCAAATATTTATCAAAAATGATAATCGTTGGTTGCAGCCCAAGTTGCATAATCCCTAATTTCTCTCCCCTCATTTCCTGTCTGCTCTAATGCTTACTATCTAATACAAGATAAAACACCCCCAAAACATATTAAAACAAAATTCATTCACAGCCACGCTCTGAGGCTGTATACACAGTGCTGTTTTGAGCAAAATGCTAACGTTAGCATCGCAACATATACACAATTACAATGCTAACATGTTGGCGGGTAAAATGTTTACCATTGTCATCGTTCTAGTTTAGGGTGTTAGCATGTTAACATTTGAAAAGCACAAATTGAAGTGTGATGCTAATGGGAATGTCATTATTTTAAAGGTGATAAACCAAAGTATTGGACAATTAAAACTGTTGATCTGCTGGTGGTGCTAAATTAAAAGACTGTCTGTGTCACGCTGGTTTGTCATTATTCCAGGTTCCACCCGCCCACCATTTACTTCAATATTCAAGCGATGTCTGTCACCTCTCCATGTAACTAATTTAGCCTTTTGTATAAGAGACACTTTGAAGAGAACATCGGTGTGTATATCTGTTCGTTGAAACAAATATTACATTTATATTTATATATAAAATATTATGATTTAAATGAGTGCTTATATATTATACTACAAATAGACTGAACTTCAGTTAGCTTGTCACTCAGATAAATTACAGATTTATAGTTAAATGCAGGGAGTCTGACGAGATGTATAATGATGCCAGAGCCTCTAATTTTTCTTTATTTTCTGTAATATTATCAAGCCCAGAAAATGGGCGTTGATCATCTCTTTATATTATCGTCGTACTGTGACAAAAATGGGCATCTGCAGATATCACCGTACTGTCCACTAAAAACTTTTTATTACAAAATACAGCATTATTATTGAAATACAGCAGTCAGCACTTTTTGTGTTGCATATTTGTAATGCTTTTATATTGTATTATCACCAGGCTTTGCATTTGATACCGCACATATGTATTGTGTCTTTTTGTGTTCATGCATTCATACATGAAAGGGAGGCCATCTTGACGACAGTAGAGCTTTAACCCGTGGCTGGTGTTTATCTTTTGTCCTCTGTAGCTGTCAGTGTTCATGTGATTCCCTCTGTTTGTTTGACACAATCAGCACTCACTGCCTGTCAGCGTCCCCCTTTTCACCAAGCTGTGCTCTGAGGTATGACTGTTCTGCTCATTAGCATGAGCCACAGCCACTGTATGTGTGACTTACAATGTCTTTATGTTAGACGCTGTTTTTATCTCATATTCTCATATCTGTTTCCTTGTGTTTCTCAGTCTGTAAATGACAGCAACAATGGTTAAGTGAAGTAAAGCAAAATCCATACTAACAGTAACCCTAACCCCTGCAGCTGTAATCTAATATAGTTTTATTGCAATCACTTACTGCATTTCTTTATGGCCATCAGAGAGTGTGTGCTCTTCATGGAGAAAGGGTAATTACTGGAGCATCTAATACTGCCGTAGCCTCGATTAAAGCCTGAGCAGTGGCGTTGTTATATCAGATGAAAGGGTGCCTTTAATGGTGAAGGTGTTACAGACCTGCGCATAGCAGGTGTGATCAGTGGAAAGTTGATGAATAAATCATAGGAGATGGAGTGGATGGAGTAGATGGAGTGGATGGAGTGGATGGATTACATTATCTCATAAATCATGTTTGTCTGTAGCTTAGCTGTTCTGGTTTTGTTGAGCTGACAAAATACACAAGATGTGCTGTCCTGCGGCCGGGTCCTTTTGTGTGTCCTGTGACTTTGATCCATTGTTGTGGCTGCATTTGGGGTGTTGAGGTCTGTCAGTGTAAACCGCGACCTGTGGTCCACAGACAGAGCAGTGGAAGGACGGAGGTTTCACATGACTACGGTTTTGTCTGTCCAACACGAGAGACTGTGGCCATTTTGCAGCACAAAGCTTGCTAGGGCAGGTAAATGTGATTAACCTTGCTGCTGCTTTAAAGTGGTTGTCAACACATGGAGTGTCTGATCATCTCATAGTTTTCAGTGTGAGAAAGAAAAGTGTGACAACAAAATCAAATCTTAACATAAGGTCCACTTTGAGGCACATTTGGTGTAAGAATATGTATTTGTATTCGAATATGCCATATGACTGGATGCTAATTTATTTTATTGTTTTGTATGTCTTTTGACTTCAGTGGAATTGTGACAATGTGAGAAATCACGATAATATGATCACATTGTGTCATCAACACAAAGAAAATTCTGTTTGATTTTGTAATTCCAGGAAAACTGTAATTAGAAACAAAAACTAATTAAAATGTAATTTAATTTGTTTATTTAGATGCCCGATAATGCATTACAGTAGAAAATGTAATAGAAAATGCCAAATACTTGCTGTTACACTGTTGTTTTGACAAAACAAGCAATGTAACACTGGGCTCTGGAAACTTATGATGGGCACTGTTCACTATGTTTTTATCATTTCATAGATTTAATGAAAATGGATTCATCTTTCATGAAATGAATCACTGGTTGCAGCCCTACACTGAACAGTAGTTTGATTATTTTATGTAGAATGTTGCATACATTTGTCAGATCATGATACTCCTTAATAGGAGGGAATATGTCCTTCATAATATCATAATGTTTTAGTTCAGAATATTGCCTACTGAGTACTTGAAGATCTATTTAGCCCTAACCACAACTATGAACATACTTAGAAACTCAGGGCAAAATATAATCATGGCGTTGCCTCTCACAGATCTCACAGATGGTCTTTTGATGAAGCGGTGATCTCAAACCTAATGGTCCACAAACTCAGTACCTCTGTGCATCCACAGTACAGCTAAACTAATGACCTGCTGCTTGTTCCCTCATGGGACAACATGATTTACACCTCATGCCTGCTTGTTTATCAGCTTTCCTGTGACAAACCACTCACAGTGCATTAGCAGAATGTGGCTGTATATGTGCTGACATGGTGGACCATGAACATAATGTTAATTAGTCTGTGTGAAGTGTGGCATATGACTGAGGGTTGCCATTTACTAAAGAGGCCTATTTATTTTCACACTCTGTTGAAGTGATGATATTACATCTCACTGCATATTTACATGTGACGTCACTGTCCTGTGATTGAGATCAGTTACTGAAATACTGAACCATGTGATGCAATCTAAGAAAGAGCTGATATTGTTCTTTAGTTTAACTTAGAGGAGCTTGTTCTCTATTGAGTATTTTCAATATTAAGCTACAATATACTTCTACTCCACTACACTGGAAATGCTATAGTTTGTACTCCACTACTTTTATCATTCTGCATGAATTGCAGTAATAGTATTTCAGTATTGCAGTACTGCTTTTATTTGGGTCTGATTACATCTTCCAACACTGCTGTACGCACATACTTCTGGTGGGTAGTTTATATTCATATGATTCTTAAATGCTAACAATCCATAACTCTCTGTAAGCGTAAGATATGAATTATTCAAACCTGCGGCCTCTTCTTTTTGCACACCAATTTATATTCTCCAATCTTGTCGGTCAATTTCATTTGCTTATGTTCAAAACTCTTCTGAGTAGCTTTTCTCATTACACCCCATAGTCTGCAACAACGTGACGTTTGAAAAACGAATCGCTCTAAATAACCTAATGCATTTTTCAGTGAGACAGCGCTAAAAGGCTTTTAAATGGCTCGCCTCTTAAAGCCATCTTTCTTTCCATCCTCTCTCCTCTTAACCCCATCTGCTCTTAGACGAAGAATGTTCCTGGTACTCCAGCCTTAGCCTGCACTGGCCGGTCTGCAGAGATGGGTTCAGAGGAGCGCAGTTCAGCCATGTCGCAGAAGATATCCTCCGTGTCACGCAGCAACAGCAGCGCCTCATCCAAACTCGACAGCCGACAGGTAACGCACAACAGTGTTGACACTGTAGGACTTGAGAAGTTTGAACAATTAACTTTTCCACATTCTATTTTTCTGACTGTACATTATTGCAAAAAAAGATACTGCCTGTCCTCAGGGATCTCTGTGTCACGGGAGAATGACTTTTGCTAATAGGCCCTGCGGATTTCTTAGACGTTCTCACAGGACTCTATTTGGCTCTTTATAAATACATTTCCTCCAAATGTGGACACATTTTGAGTCCTCTGAATTAGAAAAATTCCAATTTGCAATTCCAATTATGTGCTTTGATATTAGCACCAAGAACAAACAGTTGCCTTTGCCTTGTGTTTATCTGCAGGCAGCAGACTCGTACGTTTTTCATTACCAGCAACAGCTCTTCTGTTTGGAAATGAAAGTAATAAAGGTTCACTCCAGTCCTTCCCTCAGGACACACAGAGATGAGTGGTCTATCACTTTAGAGTAACAAAAAATACAGGGACTGAAAAAGTGTTTTAATTCGTAAAGTACCTCTGGACAAACAAACAAACAAACAAATAAATAAATAAACATTTTCTCAAAATGGCTGTTTCAAACCTCATGAGCTGGAGATGTGTTTCAATCTAAGTTTCAGATCACCCATAAAAACGAATCCAAGTTGTATTTGCAAGTTGTAATTGCTTTGAATAATTAAGCTAATGATTTGGGGATTTTAAACAAAAGATAAGATCACAAAATCCTGTTTCAACATTTTGGGGAATATGCCTATGTATTCACTTTCTGGCAAAAAGTTAGTTGCAAAGATCTATAGCCCTCTCATCACTGTATGGTAAATATGAAGCTGGAGCCAGGAAATGATACTTAAGACTGGCGACAGGGAACAACTCTAAAACCAGCTCCCCCACAGCTCAATAATGAATCCATTATACATAGTTTATTTTAGGTTTTAGAACATCACGTTTTACAGGGGGTTGTATGCCGGACTATGCGGGGTGCAGTAACTTCCTGGAACACAACCACAACTTGTCCTTTCTACAATATGTTTTGCTTTGTTTTGTTTAATCAAACAAGATATAACATGTTAAATAGTGAGCTTTAGATGTGATAGATTAACAGAGTTTTAGACTTGTAGCTAAAAAAAAATAATAATAAAATAGGTAAACTCTAACTGGAAAGACCTTGTTGAAGCCACACAAATGTCACACGGCTCCAGGTAAGCAGCTGTTCTCCAAGCTAATTATATTCGGCCCGTATGTTCATATTTACAATGCAAACATGAGAGTGGTATCGATATTCTCTTCCAAATCTCGACAAGAGAGCAAATTTCCCAATATGTCGAGCTATGTCTTTATATGCAGCAGGGTGTACAACTTTGGATTCATGATTTACAATTTTCTTATGCTGAGAGCTACCCTTGTATCAAGACATGTCTTCTTGTCAGTTGTCTCTGGAAGTATCTCTCGACCTTGAGGAAAAATGCCCAGGCAGCATTGTGTGACAATGACTCACTGTGAGTGTTTCAGTGGGAGATGTGATGAGCGCTGAGGGAAAGCGAACAACCCACAAGCCACGCCCTCTACATCCCCCCAACCCCTTACAGAAATGAGGGTTTATTTTAGACGGCCTCACCTACAGCAGTCAGCCTCTCTGACTGATAGAGTTTGTCTAGCCCGAGCTGTTATACACTGGAACATTCAGAGACACACTGAGATAACAAACACAGAGTCACCTCAAACCTCTGCCAAGAACCCAAAGTCCCTCTGGGTAGCTGTGATGTGACCATCATTTGTGCTTGAGTTTTTGTCCCTCTTGAATACCTTAAGATAAGATATCATCCTAAAGTACTGCTTTTTCAACATGAATTCGATAGCTGGAACTAGGGACTGTTTTGCATTTGTGCTCCATAAATGACTCAAGAAATTAGGCATTTCACTTCATGAAAAATTGGGAGACTCACAATTTTTTTTAAATATTCATGGGTCCATCCTGTTGACCTCATGGTTAAGACGCTAACCAATGACCCCAATGTTCCTGGCTAGATTCCAGCAGGGGACCTTTGTTGTATATCAAAAAAAAGACTCGGTCTCAACCTCTTTTCTGTCTGTTTCTACACTGTCAAATTGTCAATAAAGACAAAAATGACAACAACAAAAGGTCAAGATTGAAGCAGCAGTGGATGTTCTGATTTTTTTTCCCCCTAATATGGGTCAAGCTCCAAAAACACTGCATCCTCGATTTCCCTCAGTGCAACTCAATAGTGTATTTCATTTGACCCTCCCTCGTTTCAAGATGGTGCCACATTTGTTCTATGAAAGTTGGTCACCGGGGGCACTGAAAAAGCCTTTAGAGCATGCATGATAGAGACTTTCTTTAGATGAGCTGGTTGGCTGCTGCTCTTTTTCATTATGATTGTAAACGGGGGAAGTATTTTTAAGCCTGTGTGCGTCACGTCATACTGCAATACCAAGTGTAGCCACTATGTCAGAATTGCCCTATAGCCCAGCCCTATAACCCAATGTATTATACAGGGGTATAGTATAGGGGTTATGTTTCCGACTTTAAGAGCCAAAACATTAACGCTTAGACAATATAAACTAAAAGCGATATAGACCACAAATAATGCAATAGTCTCTGTGTCCACAAAGATGTTACAAAACCCTCTGTGCATTCTGTTTATGCTGCCTTCCTGGAATTATCATCGCTGAAGTACATAACAGAGCTGTCTGGATTAGTCTGTGATGAAATATCACCTTAATCTCTTTATTTACAGGGAGATTTGGATAAAGCGTTCTAATCTCAGCCAGGAAATGATTATTGTGAAGAGTTGAGATTAGACAGGTAAGCTAATTTTCTAAATGGGACCATGAGGTGAAAGTAGTGTGTGAAGCTCCACACTGGTCACCAAATTTCATAGGGCTGAATTTTCCCTCAGCGATGAAACTCTCATCTCACACGGCCTCCCACTGACTAACTGACACTACATCGAAGGAGAGACTGAAAATGTAAACAGCCACAAAGTGCTACATGCTTTTGAGACCTTGACTCTGTTATGTGGATGATTCATTAGTTTTAGGTAACCTCACCGTGCACAAGCTGCTAACATCTATCTATCATGTCAGAGCTCTCAGAAACCATCTATGCCCACAGGACAGCTGGGAAATAGTGGAGGGCCTGCGAGGAGGCTTCAGCAGTGTCCCGGAGCCCCAGAAACAGGAGGGCTTCATGCTGAAGAAGAGAAAGTGGCCCATGAAAGGCTGGCATAAGGTATAATCAATCAAATGTGAGGTTCTTAAATGACACACATTGACTCACACTTAATCTTCTCTCAGAGTGATAGACTTTATGACGTATTTCTAGACGTATTCAACAACTGAACTTCATTTCCATTTCCCAGTCGTACCCTTTACGCTTTCCTGATTCATTTTTCTAAAAATGTGCTGACGTGACTCATTTGTGTTTTAAACTAATTGAATGAGCTTATGCAGTTGATGATTCCACCCACAGAGGAGTCATATGTGACCAGGGTCAGTGACTGTCTAAAAGCTTTCACTGGGATGATACTACCTGGCGGCATTAGCTGATGGCCTGTTGGTTAATAGAGCTGTATACATTTAGTATTGACTCACAGTTAGAGCTTTTCAGGTCGTTGTGCATTCAACAGAGCACCAAGAATCACATTTACAAATAGAGGGGATGAGAAAGATTGCAACAGAGTGAGAAGAAGATGAATAAAGGCAGACGAGATGCAAGACAAGAGCCTGGGATGACAAACCTCTCACTGCAGAGACATTAATATCATGCATTAACAAGAGGCATACTCTGTCACGATCACAGAGTCATAACAGTGACTTAAGATTTGTTGTCAGGGGTGTTGCATCCCGGCTGCATCTCATTGATTCATTGTCCTCCTCTCTCCCTGCAGAGATACTTCTTCCTGGACAAGGGCATCTTGAAGTATGGCAAGTGCAGTGCTGATGTGAGTACAACAGCCTTCTGGCTGCATACTATGTGGTTGTCAGTTACAGAAGATTACAAAGGACACTTTGTATCTTGTTGTACTGCTTGTTGTCTTTGCAAAAATATCTTTATATATATATATATCTGTGCCCGTAGACACAAAAGGCCCTCATTCCCTTACAATCTCATTGATGTGAATCACAAGGAGCATTTTACCCACCAATTTCACCTAATTATATCAGCCATGCAGAGGCTCTGCTCGGCCAGTGCTGCCAGAGCCAATTAAAGGATGATAAGGATAATAGTGTGTTTGAAAACTAAACTGCATCCCGTTGCATTTGTTTTAACTCTAGTCCAAAACGTTCATAATTTGTGTGTGTTGACTTTGCCTTGCAGATTGAGAAAAGGAAACTGCATGGCTGCATTGACGTTGGTCTCTCTGTCATGGCCATTAAGAAGAAAGCCAAGTGCATCGATTTTGATGCTGAGGAAAACATCTATCACCTGAAGGTAAACCGCAAGGCTAATTAATGTAAATGAATACATATTTACTGGAAGTGATGTTGAACATCAGATTATTCCTTTTTGACTCCTGGAACAGGTGCTAACATTGAAAAGGCTTTAAAATGACCTTATGTGACTGAGGGAGAATTATAGTACCCGTGTGTGTTTTTCCACCTTCACGCCTCCTTCACTTTACTTGCCCTTGTGTTGATTCCTGATTATGGTATCTGCTCTGCAGCTTAAGTCACAGGAGCTGTTTGATGAATGGGTTTCCAAGTTGCGTCACCATCGGCTCTATCGGCAAAATGAGATTGCTATGTACCCTACCGAGAAGTCCTTCTACTATTCCCACTACCCCTCCCCCAACTCCCCTAGCATGGCGGAGAGTGCCTCTATCAGAAAGGTATACCTGTGCGTGCACTACCCAGCACACTGAAAACTGAAACGAGTCTATTTAAGATAGAATCTGCTCATAAATGTCATTATTTCATCTACAATATTTAGTGAAGTCGAAGTCCTCCTATTGAAGAATTGTATGAATTAAGCAAATTGTTATTGGACTGACCTTTGGGTCTGTTTGCTCTTGCAGTGCATGTCTATACGAAGGCAGTCTACAGTGCATTCTGCAGGAGACTTCCCTTTAAGCTGCAACAGCCAGGCCAAAGTAGCTGCCTGGCTCCAGTCATCTGACGACATGGACAAGTGCTCCAAAGGTGAGATAGTAGAGCTGTCCCTCGTGATTTGTGGAGTTTCTCAACACTCACTAGTATTCTGATGTACTTCTTAATACGTATGTGACTCCCCTCTCCTCTGTTGGTTTCTTAGCAAGATGTCGATAAACTCTAAATATCTGATTTGGCTGAGAGCTAAGAACTATTGGTAATATTTGGGTTAGATCTGGGATTTCCATCCACTTATTCAGTGTGCATGAAGGTTTGTGCTCCATTCAGAGCCTCCTAGTTACAGTTCAGTTGCCATTGAGAGTAAGAGAGGCAGGTAAGCTTGGTGAGTCAAGTTTTTGTCATTTGTCAAATGCTTCATTTAATACCAATAAATCTGTCTGCCTGCTGTCTTATTTGCAAGTAAAATAGGACTGGCATTATGTTGTTGTTAGGACGCTGTGGATTAAACAGTTTGTCTCGGTTTTAGTTCATTAGTATTCTGATGATCTGTCCTGTCGACATTTTCTTCAGTTATTAAGTAAAAAGTTATGATTTTCTAATGTAGAAATCTTGGAAAATGTACACAAAACAATCCACACACAGGGGTTAGGATTGCCACTTATTCAGTTGTTTACCACTCATTAAAATGTATTAATCAGATACATTTATCTGTTTAAGCCACTTCCTCTTCTGAACTCTTAAGTGAACTTTGTAAAGTGATTGACTTGTGTTGCTTGGTCACCTGTCCCTACGTACAACAAAGTCTTGTTTTCACTGACTTCATGGATAGTAGGTTAGGGTATTTGTACAGTCCGTACAGGGAGCGGTTAGTGGGTCTGTCCTTATTGGCCACACCACTACATGCAAGTGTTTCTGCACTGCTCCTTTTTTTCTGATCCATTTTCTCTTTTGTCTACTCTTGTAAGGATTACAGATATTAGAACCCAAAAGCACAACTCGGAGACAAGATATAAGTTCAGTTCTTTTACTAGAGTTCAGGCAGGGTCAAAACCGGGAGGTCAGTCAAAACAGGCGAACAAATCCAATAAGGGGCAGGCAAAAATCCAAGGTCGAAAACAGGCAGATCATGAACAATATAAAGGTACGCTGGAGAACTTGGCAAAAAACATACAAGACAATCTGGCACGGAACAAGAGCAAGTGAGGGGACCTAAATGGTGAGGGCTAATGAGGGAATGGGCTGCAGGTGAGATGGGTGTGGAGGACCAGGTGAGGGGAATGAGAGATGATCGGGTGTGAATGGTAGGATCTGAAATGACAGGAGAGTTAGTAAAATAAGCAGACAGGATGAAAACAAACTAATATGAAGGGGAATTCGTGACAACTCTCTCCCCACTTCTTGACCATCTTATCTTGGTGTGGATCTTTGTCCTACACTCAACAGACTTGTCAGTCTGTGAGGTCTACCTGCTGGAGCTCAGCCACCTGCTTCAGAGTATGGAGGTCCTGCACCGAACCTATTCTGCTCCATCTATCCAGGCACTGCAGGTCAGCACATTGTTCCTGATTCATTTCACTTTAACATGCAGAGCAGGTTGCTCATCATAATTGCAATTCAAGATTAAGTCTGAGAAACTGTCTAGTAAATTAACCTCATCACATCCAAAATACTAGATGACTAAGAATCTTGTGTAAAGTATCTTGTCTTGTTTCATCTTATCATTTCTCTCCACCAATATTTTTTGATGCCCCCAAGTCATTCGCTACTAAATATAGAACAAAATGAAACTTTACTGCCAGCAATGAAACCATTTCATATTAAAAAAGCCTCTTAAAAGACAATATTCCTCTTTGCCTTGACAATAAATATCTTCTCCTTTTGTTCTCTAGGCATCTACATTTGACAGCCCCAAGAAGGAAAAGAGACTACCTAGGAAATGGCGCACTAAAAACTACAACAAAGATGTCAAAACAACTCTGCAGGTAGACATCACGACAATAAAGTGTGATCATATTTCATCTTTTTTTGTACGAGTCTCTCCAAGTTCTACTCCTCCTGTTCTAGGTACCGAGCTGCATCTCCTCCGGCTCTATGCGCCTCCATGCCTCTAACCCCAACCTCTCCACTGCTGCACTCGCCAATGACAAGGCCGACACTGAATCCCTGGATTCCACTTTTGATGTGGCCAAGCTGCAGGAGGACTTCTGCCGCGTTGCCACTAACTGTGAGTCAAATATTATGAGCTTTTAATTTTCCGTCATTTTCATTTTCCGTCATTGAAATATATATTCATAATGGCATCACAATTCCCACTTTTTCTGTAAAATGGTTTTAACTTTTGCCACAGGGGACAGCTGTCGATTCAGCTGTTTACCACATCTATGCACATTCAGGAGTATGAAGCTAAGGATTTGTGATGGGCTGAATCTAATACAGCGATGCTTTAATATTGCCAGCACTAGTCACTAATGTGGCTTCCCAAGCACCTGTTGTGAAGTGCCTGGTAAAATGAATGTCTTCCAGCAAAGATTGCAGCTTAATGAGCGATCGGAGATGATCAAAATTTTCCATTTTATTAGAAGCCTGGTGGGATAGACTTGTTACTGGATGTATTGTGATTGGATCTGCATTGCTCTGAAATGAATGCAAATGGGTCTCCAGTTAAAGCTCCCCTATTTTTCTCTTGTTGCTGCAGTGCATGCGACCATGAAGACAGCCCTGAGTTCCCTAACATCTGAGAGAGAGAGATTAAAACAATGTGTTGACCACGAAACAATTCCCCCTACCTCACTGCAGGTTGTCAGTTTGAAGAACTCACTGTCCACGGTACGTGAAATAACACACACAGACACAGAAATGGTATCAGTCAGTAGAAATAAGTTAAGTATTCCACTTTCTTTTAGACTGTTACACTCCTCTCAGAAGCCGTGTCCTCCCACATCAATTGTCAGGCATGACACATTGTCGAGCCTCTTAGAGGGATTACTAGCTGCTGGTGTGATGTCTGCCCACCTAAACATGCCCATGTTCAACAGTCATATTTCCTGTGGCTGCTGCCTCCTACCCAGAGGCCTTTTCTATTTTCTGTTTTTACGGTTACACAGGCATCGTCATGCTGACTTCTTTAGCCACATTAGAACTTCTGTGCTCCCTACGCCAACACATTTCTTTGACTTTAAATACCGTGCTGGGTGTTAGCTTCTACCTACTCCACCTCACATAGTCAGTAGTAGGTGAGTATCCTAGTTTAGTGATAACGCATACATGACTCTGAGGTAAATGGCATGTTTTAAAGCCTGCTTTTGTAAAAACACGTGGCGATGAACAGCGTAAGTCAGGATTTCATCAGTATTCAGTGTCCAAGGCATTATTTGTTGTGTGTGTGTGTGCTATAAACAATGTCTCCACTGGTTATTTTCCCAGGCTTTAGCCCAGAACTCTGAGCTGAGAGAGCGACTGTGCAAGATTCATGCCGAGTCCCACATCGTAGAGCCCACACTTATAAATCTCACTGCCCCTGTGCAGGTGGGTGCGGGAATGCAGTGACTCTACTCCTTCCCCCCCCCCCCCCACGATGATTATTATTATCTTTATTTTCATCCCACGCAGTCTTGACTTTGCCACAGAATGAATGAGCTGTCCCTTCCTTCTCATCCAGATTCAACAAATGTTGCCCTCCTCCACACCCCCTCACTCGACTCACTTTCTTTCATGATGACAGTGACTATAAAAAAAGTGAACATCATTTTCTTCACCACAAACTTTAAGGGAACACAACCGCCTCAAATAATTGGAATTTCCATTATTTGGGTAAAAGAAAGTGCTTCCTCTCAGTCCTGTGGTTGTGTCTCTCTATCACATGGCTACCTGTCACATTATTGTCTCCTAAAGGAAGCTCTTTGCACTCTTAATCTGATTTGCAGACCAGAGAGTGTGAGCTGATCTACTTAATCATGTCCCTAGAAATTTGTATGAACACACAGTGCAAAACTAATATGCCTCCTCTGAGATTATCTCCAGGCTCATTAATCAGCTTCGGCAATAACAAAGGATGCAGGGGCGTGCTCACTTCCATGTGTGGTTTTGTGAAATGGGCTTCTTTTTCATAATTGGTTACATGTTTTAACTTTATTTCAGAAGAACTATGAGTTCATTTTGAATGCGCATCTTGTTTTATGTCAACACCTTGTCAGACAGTAGAGTGGGTATGCACACTTGTTGCACACTTGCACTTCTGGCTGGCTCCCTGTAATTAATACAGTAATATATTGTGATACAGTCTCTAGAAATAGGTTTAATTGATACAATATATTCTTAATATATTGTGAAATAGATCCCGTCTTTATACAATTTTTTTTATTCTGAAGTGTTCCGATTTGTAGAATGAATTATTTGGCCAATTTATGTCTGTTTAACACTCAAACGATGGCACATGTTGCTGTGTACAAAGAAAGAGACTCTATGTGCATTGTTGCATAATGTTTCAATTCAATTTTCTATATTTTATTTTTTTCTTTTATTTTAATATAAGCTTCTAGGAAACTAAATAGCATTTCATAATAGAATCACTAAATATAGTGTACCCTTGGACTGAATTGGACTCTGAAATAATGTTTTATATGTGACTGTCTTTCAATATATTTATATGTGACTATCTTTCAATATATTGCATGATTTGTGTGTTCTGATAATCTCACTATCCACACATTGTGTGATGGTATTTTATTCTAAATTACCCTGTAATCGCCGCCCCTTCTGGCTGTGATGATGTTGCCCTTTTCTTGTTCTTAATTATAGCTGTGAACACTGTGTCCCCTAGAAACAGGACTCTGTCGATGAATCCCATCCCCTCGTCCACCAAGTATCCAATGAGAGCGGAGCTTCAATCACAGAGTCTTTGTCTGAGTTCTTCGATGCACAGGAAGTTTTACTATCTGCTAGTTCTTCTGAAAATGAGGTGAGTGTGAGAGCTAAACTGTTACCGTTAGCAGTTAAGAAATCCGCCAGTGGCATAAACTGACATTTATGGCTGCATAATGCATTTAATATTGTCATTGTAAATGTAATGTAATTTGTCTCGTTTGCTGCAACTATTGTTGGATGAGAAAAATGGAGAGAAAAAATTAATCCAGATGATGGGTCGGAAAATGAAATTTCCACCAGAGGTTCTTGATTTATTATCAAACTTCATTTCATCCATTCTGTCTGCAAAATGTTTTAAACCTGTAGGCACATTGGGACAATTCAGTGCTGCTCTATTGCAAAGAGAAACCATCGCTTTAAAGTGTAAAGTAAAGTTTTCATGACGTGTGTCATGAAACCAGTAAGCCCTCACTTCAGTCTCCTTTTCCTCCAGTGTTCAAGCAGCATGCCAGATCAGAGCACAGCTGGAGCAAAAGTAATGTGAAAATGGAAGTTAATTACTTTAATCTAAAAATAAAGCAAGTTGAGGTACAAATTAGTCGCTAGGTCCCAAGGGACCATTCATCTCTAACGCAGTAGATTGTCTGCTGATGTGACAGGATGTTAAAAGAGACCTGCCCAGTCCTTTTCTGCAGGTGGTATTAAAAATGTTTCTATCAGCTAAGGTTTTGATCTTTTTTTAGGTATCAGACGATGACTCCTACATTAGTGACATCAGTGACAACATTTCCATGGACAACTTCAGCAACGAGACAGAAAATGAGAGACCAAACTCGGGTAAACTATGGGACATATACTGTGGACTAGATTTAATACAAATGTTAATACAATACAGGCCTCAGTGCAATTTTATGGGTTCAGATGTCATTCTGTACAATTACTTAATTTCCATATTTGCTGGTTGCATTGACCACACCAAGAGCTGCCGGTGTCTTGACCTCTTACACCATCTGTTCCCAGACTCTGTCCTTTATCAGCGTAGATCCTGCCTGCCCTCGCCTAGCCCCAACAACAGCACCATCAGCCTGTGGAACATCCTCAGGAACAACATCGGCAAAGACCTGTCCAAAGTGGCGATGCCTGTACAACTTAATGAGCCGCTCAACACCCTGCAGAGACTGTGTGAGGAGCTGGAGTACAGCGAGCTGCTAGACAGGGCTGCTAACACACAGGACCCTTTTGAACGTATGGTGAGATTGCAAATTCACTGCTTGCTGTTTGAGTCTGTTTAGTTCGGATCAGAATTTCACTTTTAGCACATAAATGGCCCCCTATGACAGAAGCAGTTGCCCTTAGTGAAGCTTAAGTTTTAAGATTTTTTTTTTTTCTTTTTTCTTTTTTTTTTTTTAAAAGAATTTTTTTTTTCGCTGCTAGAATTGATGAAAAACGTATCAAATCCTGGACCAAAAAGAGACAATTTTTTTTTCATTCTGCTTGTGCATGTGATGTTGAGAAACTGGTATTTTAGAGGTTTCCATAAAGTAAAAACATGGAGGCTCAACGGCAGCACGTAACGGCTTCACTCCTTCTGTTTTTACCAGTCACAGTAAAAGCCCAACTTACATTCACTCAGCATTTCTCCAAGAGGCAACAAGTAGCTAGTATTTGGCAACAAAAATAGTCATTCAATGGTCATCAGCCCTCTCGGCCCTACTGGTCTTGGTTGTCTGCACACCTCTGTCCAACTGCTGAGTAAAACTTTAATTCATAGCAACACACTTTTGGGCTTTCTCAAAGTTTGGCATCACCATTCAACAAAAACTGCCCAAACTGACATTAATGGCAACATTATGATTCAGTTTCTGTTGACATCGGACGGCAATTTGAGCAAAGGCTTGGTGTTTGCTCATGGCAGCTCACTGGCTTTGCCATCCACGTAAAATTTGGCGATTTTCTTTCCTCTAAGTGACTGTCAAGCACAATTATAAGCACCAAGACACCCATTTTCGTTTTGCTGGCAGTTAATCCTCTAGACCAGGGACATCGTGTGCAAGAGACCAGCAGGAAGATTCTGCCTCTTTCAGTGTTTCACTTTTGCTCACATTTGCATTGAGTTACTTTGGAGTGATGGAGTTCGTTGGTTGAATATTGTTTTGTGTGGAAGGTGCAGAGAAGATACAGCCTTTGAAGTCGCCAAGTCATTAAGGACAAAAATGCCATATACAGTATATACATGTGAAATTAATAGCATATGAAGTTGGTGTCAGCTCTAAACTTTGGCCTCCCATTATGATGTGGAAGTAATTATCAGTGCTCTCTTGGCTGAGTGCAACTAATGGAGGACTATCCAGACATTTACTCTGCTCATTACAGTAAAACTGAATGGACTAATAATAAGGGACTATAAAATGATGATCTATCTCAGCTAGTTCAATGATCTGTTCTTTTTTTATCCTTTTAAGGTACATTTTGCTTTTTGCTCCACCTCAGTTGAGGAGACTCATTATTCCGTAATAGAAAAGATAAATAAAGCATTACTAACTGTTTTGGTTTATCTTTGTCCAGGTATACGTAGCTACTTTCGTTGTATCAGGCTATGCATCCAGCTACTACAGAACTGGGGGAAAGCCTTTCAACCCCCTCCTGGGGGAGACATATGAATGTGACAGGCCAGATAAAGGCTTGCGATTTGTTGCAGAGCAGGTATTCATGAATCCCAATTTCTGTGCTATCGACAATCACAGTATAATGATAATAATAATGCACTGAAAGCATGCGTTTTGTTCCCCTTTACATTGCCAGGTCAGCCATCACCCACCGATCTCAGCTTGCCACGCAGAGTCTAAAAACTTCATCTTCTGGCAAGGTAGTGGAATATAGAAATGAATCTGAATCATTGTCAGTGTCTGTAAAGATTGCAGCAGTTGCTTGTCATCCGAGATGAATGTTATTGTGAACAATCGTTTGGTTTTCTTATCGGTTTTGTAGATGTGAGGTGTAAGAACAAGTTCTGGGGGAAGTCAATGGAGATTGTTCCTGTTGGTACCACTCATGTAACTCTGCCAGGGTGAGTCTTTTCTGCGTCTATCATTTGCTCGAGGACTGGACAGACACACAGACTTGTACACAGCGACCATGTCAATTAAGAAGCAATGTCTACATCTGTCAAGTTAAAAGGAATGTGGTTTTAATCCCCCCTTTTTCTAGCTTTGGGGACCACTACGAGTGGAACAAAGTGACTTCCTGCATCCACAACATTCTCAGTGGACAGCGCTGGATTGAGCACTATGGGGAGATCTCCATCAGAAACTCCAGCAGTGACATTTGTCAGTGCAAGATCACTTTTGTTAAGGTGAGGCAAGCATTAAAAAGGTTTAAAAATGCTTAATACAAAAGATAGAAATTCTTTATTTTTATGCACTTTAGCTACTCAAGACTTCAAATTATTTATTTTGTAAATGTGACACTCAACGCTGGATTATGCTTCCCTGCAAGGTGTTGCAAGACAAGACAAAATATAGTTATAGTCTATAATGTATTCCAGGTCTATCATAATGTTGCGCTTTCTTTCTTTCCTCTCTCTCTAATTTGCCATATACTTGTGTTTGTAGACATCCCTCTGTGAACCCCAGGGGTTTTGATCTTGATAAATTGCAAGCAGTAAAAAAGGCATTTTTCTATACTATACATGAATCACCCACAGGCAGAATACATGCGGTAGTCCCTTCATTAGTCCATAAACCTTCTACACAGATGGTGCTTTTCACCTGCATGCCACCAAGAACCCCTCGATGTTTTCAGTGTTTGATGTATGGAAGCCTTTACTGGGAGCAAAAGGTTAATTGCTTTAGCGTGTGCCCATTTGAAAGACGCTGTGAAGCTGTGCAGGGTAGAAAGTCCGGACATGTCAGAACTCATTATGCATCTTCATCTCCCGATAAACACACCAGCCCAGCACACACTGGGGCTTGTGATTGATTCACATAACAGTAACACTTGCTGACTGCAAGAGGACATGATGGTGATCCCTGCATTGTCTAGTCATGCCTACGAAGAGCATAATACTATGTTCTTCTCCACCTGCCAATTCTTTTCCCAGGCCAAATACTGGAATTCAAGTGTGAATGAGGTGGAGGGAGCCATCACAGATAATAAAGGAAAGGTCGTCCACAGACTCTTTGGAAAGTGGCAGGAAGCAGTTTTCTGTGGAGACCCACCCTCAGCCACATGCATCTGGAGAGCAAGTATGACAAGTTTCTTTCATAGGAATGCACTGAACGCCTTTTTGCATTGCATATCTTCTTATGACAGCATCTGACACAGTGGATGTTATTCATGTGCAATGTAGATGCAATGCCAGTAGACCTTGACCAGTACTACGGTTTCACCAAGTTTGCTATTGAACTGAACGAGCTGGACCCATCCCTGAAACTGCTGCTACCGCTCACAGACACCAGACTACGTGTGGACCAAAGGTACAAGCAAATAAACAACTGTATTTTCATGCACTTAGGTAGTGGTTATTGTTGCCGTTCAATAACCTGATTTCTTAAATGTCGGTAAACGGGAAGACGATTTCAAAGACATGGTTAAAACAGATTTCTGTCAGAGAATCAGTGTATCATCTGGTATCAATATAAAAAGAAACGGCTCAATGTCAGAGTATCTGAGCATCTTTCATCATCTGACGTGGATCTCAAAAGAAATGCTCACCCAACCGATCAAAATGCATCCAAAAATAGCAAGTAACTGCAGAGGCTTTTCAGATTGATCTAATTTTAGCTAACATTAAGGTTTGAAAGTCTGAAGAATGCACAAGCGCACCACCATGCGTATACTTCACAGAAGAAGTACTTTGCCATCAAAGTAAAAAAAAAAAAAAAACACTTCTAGTCAATATTCTGTGTTATGTATTTTCCGGTTTATCCATAATTAGGTTACCTAACTGAAATAATGTAAAACCAAAGAACTTAAGTATTAAATTTGAATATTGCAGATGAATGTTTTACCATCTATGCATAATGAACGTGTCTCGCTGGCAGACTGCTGGAGGAGGGGAACTTGGAGGCTGCAGAGGAGCAGAAGCAGCGGATTGAACAGCTGCAAAGAGAGAGGAGGAGAGTCCTGGAGGAGAACAACGTAACACCGCAACCTAAGTTCTTCAGGTAACCTAAATATCAAGATGTATTATTTTAACACTGAGAGGCATATGTGAGTGTACTTCCAGTAATAGTGTTACATGCAGCTTGTCCCTGTAACAGCAGCCTGTGTCAGAATTTCAACACGCGTAACTATCTTCCACGGTATTCATCACTCCCTTGCTTTTCTTTTGCCTCCACAGGAAGTCAAAGGATGATACCTGGGTGAGCAACAACATGTACTGGGAGCTGAGGAAGGACCCTGGCTTCACCCAATTAGATTGTCCTATGCTTTGGTGACCCCTGAACTGCAGAGCGCGCATATTTCGACCTGCACAGCCTTTATTGTGATCCAGGCTGGGTTCTAGTGATGTCTGTATCCACAGTCTATATACCTTCCGCATTCAGTACTGGACTTCTTTACTGCAGTTCATCAAAGTTATTGCCTTAATAGCAAGTGCTTATGTAAGTTGTGTAAACATGTTTATGCAAACATATTATGAGAATGTTGATTCGTTTGGCAAATGTTGACCATATTTTCACCTGATATGGTACACTGTACCACTTAAACTGAGAACAGGAAAACTACTTGGTATAAAGTGACAAATCTGTAACTGGTCTACACTCGCTTAAAATGTATTAAGCAACTGGCCACTTTAGCTGTCGTCTTGTCATGGACATTCTCTACCTCTGAGATAAACTAGCCTTGATATGCCATTGATTAAGTGTATACACATCTGATATTTATTCTGCACCTGCCTGATGCCTTACTTGTTGTACTCATTTACTTTAAGTTATTGTTGTTGCATCTCTGAGGTCCTTTTTAAACAATGTATGTTTTTTTTAAGAACCAAACAAGAATTGTTCAAATGATCTTTAAATCCTTACTCAACTTTTCTTTCTGTCTCAGAACAGTAATTTCTGCTTTTTGCTATGAGCGTGTGAATGGTTGTGCAACTATGAGCAGCAGTAGCAAACCATTTTTCACTCTATCCATTGTCTACCTGGACCCTGGGCTTTGGGACCAAAAGTGTCCAAAACGATGCTCCATGAGCTCAAAATAAAATCTCTGATGCTTTTTTTTTTTTTTTTTTGTGGAGTCATTTGTGACTGTTCAAAACTCTGAAAGCTATGAACCAGACCATTGTCCCACTGGGTCCATACCATTGTATGGACCCAGTGGAGGTGAAATGCTGCCCCCTATTTCTCTTACACATTGCACCTTTAACTGAGATGCTGACTTGTCAAGCTGACAACGCTGTCATAAATGGTGATTAAATGTGCCAACAGGAAAAAAAAAAAAAAAAAAACTGAATCATCAGTTTTGATACTCGTATGTCCACAAAGGAGGAGGTTCATTGTGTGCTTTCAGAGCAGCTCTATTATTATTCTGAGGGCCATCAAGTGAAGTTGTTACCTCTGGAGGGCATGAAAGGCATTTGGTTAAAAACACTTGCAAATTTCATGTTGCATGGGAGCATTACCATCTTGAAAGGGCTCATCCCAATATCTTGCTTGTTACACAATTATATGAACAAAGGTGAGTCTCCATAAAATACGAGATCCACCAGTGAGTTCACTTTATATGTGGGACAAGGGTGAAGGATAACTCGAAAATAAAAGTGGTATTTGCTCAGAGCTGCAGGTGTTAGGCTCCTCCCACCATGGTAATATGGTGGGGTGGCCACAAGTAGGGCTCTCCAAATACAAAAACTTGACATAAATACCTTGTGCAGCTCACAATGTGCAATTTTATATTGTGGCTGTGTGACACAGATGCTGGGTGAACCGTTTTCTGCCTCAAGCCACAATTGATTAAATGCTGACATACAGCTAACTCATTCAATTCACAGCTTTGGGGCTTTAGCCACTTTACATAATGTGCTTGACTTCTTGTCCATACTACTGTACATTTTTTCTGTAGTGTAACTAGAATCAAAGGCTAAAAAAACAATGGAGTTCTGAGGTTATCAGATAAGTCATACATGTCTCTGAATACATCAATAAATAATGAAGTATAATGTATGATAACCCATGTTACGTTGATGAACAAACACTGAAAGACTGAGCTAACACTAGTGGCTCCTAGTGCCTAAAATGTGTATTACATTCATCAGTACAAAAGTGTCAGAAGGAACACAATGCTGATGATTTTGCCATCCCCAGATCTTTGACAGTTATGGAGTTAAAACATGCAAAATACTTGGTCATTTAAATGTAATTAGTTAAATACTAATAATGAAGTATACTGCTGACTGATCTGATCTAAATCAGAGAACATGTGTACAAAATTCAAGATGTGAAGTCAAGCTGGTGAATAGTTCATTTATTTCCACTAGGTGGCAACAAATAGCCATCAATGGTGCAGAGACAGCACAAAGACCTCCGAAAACCTAGCAATGTGGAACTATGACAGCTGTCCAACATGATTGACACATCACACCATTTATGTGGAGCAGACATACACTGAGCATTTACACTTCAGCGAGGTATGTTCAATTGTGTCCTTTACGAAAAGAAAGACATTCAATTCATACAACGTGAAACACCAATGTGTAGACGTTTGATACCCAAAACAGCTCATTGTGGTGGGGACAAGGAAAATAAAAATACAGAGAAAAACATAATTATTATTCAGCTTGTTATCATAATGATACTACTACTACTACTACTACTACAAATAATAATCATATTTGTATTGTCATTATCATCATCATTATTGTTATTATTAATAATAATATTATGTGCTTAGCCTCAGTAGCATGCCCACAGCTTCCTGTTGCGGAAAGGCGGAGCGTCTTTTGTCCAAAACAAGCTGCACAACCGACACTGATTCTCTGCTTTAAGTCTGACCGCAGACACAGTTTCTCGTCAGGTTCCTCTCTCAAACAAGGATTCGGGGTAAGTGGTAAAACATGTAGCATTTTGCATTAGGTTCCGATGCTTTTTTTTGTTCTACAAGCAGACGAACTTACGCGCACAACTCGAGACTGCTGACTGGTGCTACTAGCCTGTAACGCCACTAGACGTGTTTTCTATGACTATTTCTTTAAATATTCTTTGTTTCTTTTTTGTTTTGCTTGATATGTTGTTGAAGTACAGTGTCGTGAATTGTTGTTGTGTTGTGAGATCTTAAAGAAAAGAAGTAAGGAGTGGATGATGTGAGGATTGTTGAATCAGCAATAACACCAGTTCCTTTCAGCCTAATAGGAGGAGCTCACATGTTCCAAACCCGGCTTCATTGTCCCCCTCACAGGTTTTATTCAGCTGGGAGATGTTTGCCACAGCCACCAGAAACTTTGTGCAGGAGGTGGATCGTGGAGGTTTGCTGATGCCAGTGTCCAACCTGAATGACACAATTGCTCTTCTGACAGTGGTGGTGAAGCGCAAACGTTTCTGGTGCTGGCAGAAGCCCAAGTACATTCCAACTGATTTTGACCTCAATGATATACTAACAGGAGACACACCTATAAAGCCAGGTAAACCGCAAACACCCTCTGTATGCTGAATTGTATGTATTTATTATTTTAGGACCACAGAAAACTGAAATGTTTCACTGTCCACAGGTGTCATAGAGGCAGATTTCATCAAATACAATGGGACATTTGGTGACCACATTCAGGGAACCGTAGATGCAAATTTTGCCCACACCAGTGTCAGCCTAGAGGGTAAAGAATCTTCCAAACTCCAGTCACCATTTGGTAGTTTAAAAAAAGAAGAAGTGGATGTGCAGAAGTTGCTGCGAGACTCCAAAGACAGGTTTGTTCCCTCCACATGTTTCCACTGTCCTGTTTCATAAAGATCTGCAAACAGCCAGAATGATCTTTGTCCGACCATAAAAATGCACGCAAAACACGAGGCTCGGTTGAATATTAACACTCGCAAGAAAATAGCTTGTTTTGGTTTTCGATGTTTTTATTTTTTTTTTGTATTTTAAAGTTTAAGACAGTATTTTACAGAAATCCCAGTTTGTTATATTTCATAATATTCCTAGAATGTTCCCTGTGAAATGTTAGTGTTTTTGTGAATTCAACGTGGCAGGATCCTGGATATGTCCCATGGGCTGGTCCAGCAGACAAAAGAGAAGCCCAGACAGGCTTTTGGGATTGTGAAGGAACGTATTTTGACTACTCAGCCCTGTTCGGTCATAGAGGAGGTGCAGCAGGGAGGACAGTGTGGAGGAGGACTGAGCCTCTGCGGGCCCAAGAGCACAAAGGTACATTACTGTATTAAACTCATTAATTATAGTAGTGTATAGGTTGTAAATGTATGTGTAAGGGTTCCTCACAACAGAAGAGTGTATAGTCAACATGATGTTCCAGGTATCATTAGTGATAATTTTATAAATACTTCTTGTTAATATGTTTTGTTATTCCCTCCTCAGTTCGCAGCATCCTACTTTTTTTGAAATTCAGTTCTGCATGCAACGTTGAGCTTTATGAGTAGGTGGAGAGAGGACTCTTTTTTTTTTTTTTTTTTTTTTTCTTTTTAAAAAGAAGAGACATCTGTGCCATTTATATTGGAAATTCTTGCCAACTGTTGAACAATTAGATTGATCTTGCTCTTTGTTAATTTAGCTGCTCTCTGTGTTGTTTTCAGTAACGCGTAGAGGAAGAAGAAGTCTTTGCTCTTTGATTCAGAGAGACTGATATCAAAACATTCACTGTTCCTAGATGGATGAAATGTTTTCTAACATTAAATTCAATTGCAGCCACATCCTCGTTTTTACATCCTTTGGAGTCAGACACAACAGCACATGGGTCTACACATGTGCCATGCACTTACAACTGTTTTTCAGCTGTAATACGTTGTTTTAATGTGGATATGTCCTTAAAAACAGATTGAGTTTTGTTATAACTTGTATTTGGCCTTACATGTTGGCGGTATTATTGCAAATCTGCAGGTTTCCTTGAAGGAGAATGGGAGCTTGAGTAAAGACAGTAATATCACCATGGAGATTCCCATCCACACTACCATTGCATATGCCCTTATAGAGCTAGAGATCAAACGTGATGGGCGCTACGGTGAGAAATGATTCACGCACAATTGATTCAATTCTACTGCATTTACATTTCACATCGGGGTGTTTTAAAATGTAACATGTTTTATTTTTCCACAGAGCTGTGTCTGATGTCAGACACCGCTGGGTATTTTGAAGTAGATGGCCCCGATAAGAAAGGACCGTTGGGTGTCTTTGGACCTCCTGCCTCTGAAAATAGCCACCTTAGACGAGGTAAATTACTGTTTTCTTCTCTGAAGCCATAAAACACGTGGCTATAGATGGTTATTGTAGCGCATGACGCGTTCAGACATGCATGTTGTTTTACAGGCTCAAAGAGCCTCTACAGATTAGAGGCCGCCTGTCCTATCACAATGGACTGCTTGTTGAAATGTGTTTAGACCTGTATTATAAGGTCTTTAGTATCAACTTGTCCTTTTAAAAGTGCCTGGTTTAATCTTAATGTTTAGTGACCTGCTGCATGTACACATTTAGTCTATGGAGCTGGATGATGAAATGTATCCATTTTGTATTTTATTTAGAGCTGGAGCAACTGAGAGATCATTTCCAGCTGCTTTCAGCTCTTCCTGCCACCACAAGGTCGTCTCTACTCCAACAAATCCCAAAAGTTACGGCGGACCAAGGGGCCGTCTGTTCACTGCAGAATGTGGTAAGCAGAGAAGTGATGTCAACACAAAGTTATCTTGTGGAGTAAGCATTTGGAGCTTCTATAAATCTAGCTGTCTTCCTTTGTCTCAGCTGGAACAGATGTGCTTAGATAAGAGACCTGCCCTGGATGAGGTCACAACGACAGAGTCCCAAAAACAGAACATCCAAGCAATTCTCGACCTTTTAGAGCAGTCTGGTCAAGTGGATTCCACACCACTCCTTTCGGCATTTCACCTTATTATCAGCGCCATGGATGGTGAGAAAGCTGGACTTCACTGAAATGTTGCTTGAATTCCTCACTCTGTTTAAGGGCAGGAAGAGATGTATGTTGAGTCGCAGAGTTCCCACTGCATGCTGAATGTCTTGAAAATCAAATTTCCTCAAGCTCTGTTTTCATCCTGTTTCTGGGTCTTTGTCTTTCAGAGATGACAAACGATTGTCTTTCTGTTTTGGGAATGTGCTGCAGCCTCACTGTGCTACCGGCTCTGGAGCTACTGGTTAGTAAAGAGAGTTTCTACAAATAAGAATACAAAAACATGTTATGGAAGTTTTTTTTTCATGATGCATCCCATTGATTTAACTGCCTTTTATCTTCCTGTCACGTCTGTTCCAGGTGCAGTGCGTATCGGGGAAGGGGGAGTTGCCTCTGAGCAGCGCAGGCTTAGCTGCGCTGACAGAAGGCGTCTATGAGAAGACTGAACGTCTGTTTGCCTCCTCGCATGTGTCCCTGAAGAGAGATGGAAACACAGTGAAGACGGAAATAAGCAGCCTGCCAGGAAACCATCCTCTGGTCCTGTGTATCGCTGTCAGAGGTCTCGCCTCGTTGGCCCACTGTGATTGAACTGAAGACGCCTTAATATCCAACCAATACTTTAAAACGTTACACTGGAACGAGGTAAAGGGGAACACGTAGATCAAGTGTTATCTGTCGGTGGGTTTTTTCTCTCTCTTTTCGGTGCAGTAGAATTTCCACTAAGACATCTTTTCTGTAGGGTAATTATATAAATGTACTAATGCTGAAACAATAATCAATGACAAATGGACAATCAATTGATTTAGGTCATTAGCATTTTGAAGATGTCACCTTAGGCTCTGGGGAAAGTGTGGGGGGCATTTTTCACTGATTTCTGATGTTATCTGAAAAAACAAGTGATTCATAAAATCATAAAATGATCCCCTTTGAGTCTATTACTTATTGTTAAGTAAGAGAGATGACAATTTGTGTTGTAAAAAGTTAAGCCACACCTTCAAGCCAATCAAAATTGAGGAATTTCAGTGGCCATGGTATGATTAAAGGGAAAAAAAAAAAACATCAGCTGCAGCTCTGAAATATACTATTATATGGTCACAACTGAATTCAGATGCACAATCTTTGATTTACTATATTTTAAATTCTTAACTTGGCACCTACTGGTGGCTTCAGCATTAATATACACACTAATTTCAATATAATCAGATTTTGGAAAGAAAAGGGGTTCAAAGACACGCACCTGATTCTTACCATCTTCTTTTGGGTCATAGTATCTAAAAGAAGCACAGCAAAGTACATTTTATCGAAAGATTTACATTTGTAATTTTCTGAATACTAGATTCTGATTGGCTGTGGGGTGTCCTTTAATTCCTGATATAGGACAAAGAATCTATAAAAGAGGAAGGGTAATTATGTCAGTGTGTCAGACTTTTGTGCCAGTTCTAATAAAGTGAATGGGGCAGGCAGAGCAAATCCCACTATGAACATATCAGTGTTTCACTTTTGATTGCAAATTTCTTTAACAAAATAACAAAACAAAATGACGTGCTGTTGGTTGTTTTTTTTTATCTAAAAGTGTGTGTACA